TGTGCCCAACTGCTTTCGGCCTGTGTTTGGCCCGGTACCCGTATCCAGCCCAGGGCCTGCTTCACATACATTCACACAGGCGGCCCAGGGCCTGGTTTCACTCAACCAACTGGCGCTGCGCAACTGCCTGAATTTCCCTAAGTTGTGTGGTGGCCTGAAAAGGGCCCTGAGGGCCTCGTCGAGCCTGCCTTCACTTAGGGCGGCCGACGGGCTGCAAAAATGGGGCCATTTGGGGCTCTTAGAGGCAGTGGCCTCGCATTCCCTCCTCCTTAGCTTCAACAGTCCTCTGAGAAGCTCAATCTTCGATCATAGGGCGCTTTCCCTTCTCAGAGATCTCTCGTATTGAGTCACAACTTGAGGAGCGGTCTGCATCAGTTCCTCCCTGGTGAATCATCGGTCCTCCTTCGGATCAGTGTGATGTTGGAACCGAACGCGGTACTGCAGCTTCGGTTTTGGAGGACGTCCCTTGCCTGCTGGTCTTGATACCGGCAGCTCTCGGTGTTCCACAATATCATCAATGTCCACCTCTCTGTCCATGGTTGGGGGCAGCATTGAGCGACGAGATGGAAACTGGTCAGTTTCTTTGAAAGGTGCCAGCTTGGAGGCGTGAAAGACAGGGTAAGTACGAAGATGACCAGGAATCCGGATAACATAAGATGGCCCATCCGGATCTGTCCCGACGATGTCCAAGACTTCCCAAGGTCCAAAGTACTGAGGCATGAGTTTGCGGGATATCCCGTACTCCTGTCCCAGTTCTGAAGACTTAACCCAGACCCTATCCCCAACCTGAAATGTAGAAGGCCGGCGGTGTCTGTTTTCGGACTCTATCATCGCGACCTGTGCCTTCTGCATCTGTTCTACCCCCTGCTGCATTTTCTGTTCGTATCTGTAGGCAAACTCTAACGTACCCGGTGCAGCAGTTGATTCATTCTCAGGTAGGAGAAAGTCAAGAGGTAGTCTAGGCTTGAAAGTCAGTAGTAGACTGTCCGGGCTCACCCCAGTGGCCCTGTGTACCGCATTGTTATACAGACTAGTGATGAGAGCAAGCTTCTCATCCCAGTCAACATGGTTGGGCTTGATGTAATGCCTCAACAGGTGTTGAACAGCGCGGTTCAATTGTTCGGCCTGGCAGTTGGCCTCTGGGTGATTCCCAAAAGTCATTTGCAACTGAGTGCCCTGCTCCGCAGCAGCGGCTTTCCACAACTCGCTGGTAAACCAAACATTCGGATCACGTACTCCGTTCTTGCTGTTTCTGGCATGGCTACTAACCTAGCACTATCCACGATGACGAAGATGTGCCACATCCCACTCTTGCTGGTGATCAGTGTATCCATGAAATCCATGGACAGACTCTCACCAGGCCGTTCCGGAATCGGAAGGGGCTTCAAAAGCCCAAGAGGAGCCTGAGTACGTGGCTTGTCTCGTTGACATACTTGACAAGTCTCCACGTACAGCTGGGCATCTTGCATCATCGTGGGCCACCAGAACCGCTGCAGCAGGTTGGCTGCGGTCTTTTTATACCCAAAATGACCGGTGGCATCATGACACTCACCTAAAAACAAACTACACAAAGATTCGCTACTCGGGACACACAATCGTTTATTCCCGTCCTTCTCAAGGAACAACAAGCCATTGACCAACTCAAACTCAACAGAGGTCTTCTTGTCCTTTGCCTAGAGTCTGCGTATGATCTTAGACATGAACTGGTCCTCGTGATAGGCATCCACCAAAGAGCGAGTAACATTGTCCGTGAGATCGAACTCAGTAATCAGAGCACCTGAAAAGTCAGGTCTACGCGACAAGGCATCAGCCACCTTATTGTACTCCCCTTTAAGATACTGRGGGTCGAAGTCATATTCCTCAATGACTTCGATCCAACGCTTAAGAGCGTCAGAGAGTACTGGCTGAGTTCTCATCCATCTCAGGGTCTGATGATCAGTCCTGAGGATGAAGAATCTCCCAAGGAGATAGTGTCTCCAATGAGTCAAAGCCTTGTACACAGCGTAGACTTCCTTCTCGTAGGTGGACTTTGCCAACTTCTGAGACGACATCTTTTTCGACATGTACTCGACTGGCCTCAACTTTGGCCCCTCCTGCTGCGTGAGCACGGCGCCAATGCCATATTGGCTGGCATCCGTGGTGATCAGGATCAGGAAGTTTCAAGACCTCGTAGTGCGTCAACGCATGCTTCAAATGTCTGAAAGCAGCCTCGCACTCATCTGTCCACTCCCACGGGGTGTCAAGGCGGGTCATATCGGTCAAAGGAGCGACCACTATGCTATAGTTTTTTACAAAAGTTTTGTAGTAGCCTGTCATTCCTAAGAAAGATCTCATCTCAGTCACAGACTGAGGACGTGGCCAATCACGAATGCTGGCCACCTTCGCGTCATTGGGCTTCAACCCTTCCGCGGAGATCTCATGACCCAAGTACAAGACACGGGTGCGGCCAAACTTGCACTTCTCACCGTTGATCTTGAACTTGTGCTGTCGCAGGAGACTGAGGACTTTGTCCAGATGTGCAACATGCTCCTCGACAGTCTTACTAAAAATAAGTATGTCATTGAGGTACACGATGACAAACTTATCCAAGTAGTCATGGAATATTCAATTCATAGCGTGCTGAAAGGTGCCAGGAGCATTGCAAAGGCCGAAAGGCATCACCACAAACTCGTACAGACCGTACCTGGTCTGAAAGGCGGTTTTGTGTTGATCCTCGGGCCTGATTGCAATCTGATGGTACCCGGACTTCAGATCTATTTTACTGAAGTACCGACACCCTTGCACTCTATCTAGCAAATCGTCGATGCGCGGTAGGGGCTCTCTGTTCTTTACAGTGATGGCATTGAGGGCCCTATAGTCAATGCACATCCTAAGAGTACCCTCCTTCTTAGGCACGAATAGGACTGGAGACCCATAAGGAGAGACACTCGGTCGGATCCAACCCTTCTCTACGAGTTCCTTGAGTTGGCGGCGAAGCTCATCAAGCTTGCCTGGAGACATCTGATAGATCCTACCCTGGGATAATCTCTATCGCGTGGACGACCTCCCTCTCAACAACCCCTGTTGGCTCTTCAAATAGATCAGGGTACTTAGCAACTACTCCCTCTATCTCCGGCGGCATTTTCACCGGCTCGCCTGCAGCAGAGACGTAAACTAGATACATACCCTCCTCCTAATTTCGCTTATCATAATTGTAGAACGAGGCCGCACACATGCACCCATAGGACTCAATTAGACTACTAGCTTTGAACTTGAGTTGGCTGTGGCCATATTAACCACAACGAATACATGCCTGTCGGGAGTAACGGTCTCTCCATGCGTCCTCAATAAGACCCGCTTTCTCCCATGGAGGAGCATTGGGGTCAACTTCACTCCTCGACCGGGAGCCTCCGCGGCGTCTACCGGTCGCCTTTCCTTTTTGAGATACGGCAGCGATTACTCCACCCTCTTAAGCATCTATGCTGCTTGCCTTTGAACCTACTCCCTCCGGGAAGTTGTCGTCCACCTCGATGGTTGAACCATCGTTGTCGACGAACATCAAGCGACCTTTCGCTTTCCAGTTAGGAGGCAGTGTCTTCTTCCTCCCATCCATAGTGGGTGCCTGTCCATGCGCTATCTTTGCTTCAAGGTCTAGGGTCACCTTGCTAAACGAAGGGAAGTTGTGCATATTGATGTTGGCCTCTTTTGCCAACTGGTTCCTGAGAGGTTGAGAAAAGCACCTCACGTACGAAGTCAGCAGGACCTGGGGGTCATAACGCACCCCTGGGACACCGATCATAAGCTCAACAACGTCGGTGGCTTCCCTTACTGACTTAAACTGCCTCGTGTGCAGTGTCAGGATCGCATCAGTGGCCCTTTGAGCCTCCTGAGGATCGTGCCACCTCTCCTCCACCATCTTCAGGAAGTCATCCAGTTTCTGCGTGGCTGCCCAAGCGCGGAAGTTATGACTATATCCCTGGAGCTGTTCTAAGCCGCTCAACCATCTTGCCGCACTACCCTCTAGGTAAGATGCGGCCACAAGCACTTCTTCGTGCAGCAAGGTGAGTTTACACCTGACGTAGACCGACACTGCCCTCAACCATGTGTCGAGGTCTTCGCCTCTCTTGTCCCCTGTAAAAGGTTTGGGAGCGGCGATGGTCGTCTTCAAAACCCACTGAGTTTGTCCTGGTCCCTGCATCACTCCAGGCTGTGGACCCGGTGACACAGGTTGCTGTGCTAGCTGCTGGGGCTGCGTGGCCTGAGGGTGCACAGGCTGCGAGACAGCAGGCTGCGTGGTGACAGCAACCTGAGACGGACTTGGAGTAAACACTGTCTGTACAAGAACCTGCAAACTACTCCCTGCTGTTACCCCTCCTGACAGCGGCATGCCCAGGGAAACGATAGCAACCGTTGACGGGGCTACATATGTGGATACCGCTGTCACCGGTGGGACAAAAAAAGAAGGATATGGCACGGGCAAGGCACCAGGCCCGGCTGGTGATGGTGCAGCCTGCGCACGGCCTGCCAAAACGGCTAGGCTCTGTTGAACGTCCTGAAGGATGGTAGTTTGATGCTCTTGCATCTCTATAACGCCTAGCAGGGCCCTCCTAACTACCTTCACATCATCATCCATATGTGTCAGGTCCATCATTTCTAACTCCTCTATATCTGCCCCTCTACGCTGCATCCTGGCTCTGCTTCTGATCATCTTCTCCTTTTCGGCTTTTATCTCTCCTAATGCCCGCTGTAGTTGTGCCTCCTGCAGGGTTGCCTGCTGGATGGCGACATCCTCTGGAGTCAACACTAAAGCCTGGCTTGCCATAACGCCAGTGGACTGACTCACGGTCTGCGCGACCGTCGACCCGACGGCACCTGAACTACCGGCTTGGGAAGTCTGCTGCGCAGAAGTGGACATGGCTGTAGTGGCCATGGCTGCTGTAGCACCGGCCTCGCTAACTAAAGTTCTGCTGGCCTCGGATGCTCTAGCCCTCCTCTGCTGCTGTTGCCTCTCCCTAAGCCGGCGGAACAGAATCCTACCACCCTCCGGTCCTAAAGACACGTGGGCTATCGGGCCTCTAGCTGATCGCAAGATCCTGCGGTCGTCCTCTCCGGTGTCCTCCTCGTCGCTCATAGGCTACAGCGCTGTGCACTGTCTACACTAGATCATACTAGATGCCTACCGCAACATAGTGCACAGACCCACTAATTAGTTGGTGACTATTTCGGAACAGATATCACTTGAGGTCAACAGGTAAGTCAGATTCCTACAACTGAGACTATTTTTAGTCTAACTAGTCCGCAAACAGAAGCACCGGGAACAATAAACAGTTTTAACTAATGCTGTCTGTCAGATGTCAATGGCAGTACATCTAACTAATCAAAAACATAAAAATAATAATCAGTTGTGTGGATAGGACAGCATGGCATTTTCTCGAACTTATCACCTGGAATCAACCCCTCCCTTAGTTCCCCTGAGTATCTCTTGACGTCAGCATCCCTGAGCAATCTGGAGAGCGTAGCGTGTCTAAAGGTGTGTTTGTCCGGCCCACCCCTGTGCCCCGAGTATCCACTGAGCCGGCCAGCCTTGCACGTATAGCAATTTAACATCCGCCCCCAAGTGACTCCAGGAATTATTTTACGTCGCAGCCGGACGATGATCACAGTTAATGGTTCCCCTTCCCGTGTTTATTTATAGACGCCGGGTGCTCGTCTTTCCTGTAGGGCTGGCCTGCCCAGTAGTACCCATCTAACAACGGAGCAAGCCGAACCAAGGACCAGCAACAAGGCATGCATGCTCTACTCCCTGTGGGTTGGCATGGTGACCGTGACCCAGTGCTTCGTCCAGGGCCCTTCCGAAAGCTCCGCCCATCTCCACCCATCTCCACCCAGATGCTCCACGTGAACATTGCCGACTCTCAAGGTTGAGCGCACTCGACACCTCACAATGAGAGGACTCTCAAGAAGGAACACACAACCTCACGGTAAGAAGTGTCGGAGAGGGAAGATAAGGTTAAGAGCAACGTACCTCATTTAGCTGCCCCCAACCACAGAGATAATCTCACCAGATAACCAAATGGCGATTGCGATGACCAGTCATACATCGGAACAACCAGCATTATCTCGCCGTTCCACCTCAGCATCAATCGCACATTAGATAGTTCTCATCACACTGTCCAGACCACATTCACCTCACGTAGCCTTCCTGGCGATTCCCTCACCTCCTGGGTCGCCTTCACACTCGTCTCCACCCTCCTCACTACACACCACTTACGGCCATACTCGCCCAGCAGACCGCATGTATGTACCGCATAAGGCAGAAGACAAGCACCAGATGAGCGCAATCGTACCACAACTCCGATACCAAATTGCAAGGAAGATGAGCAATAGCGAACTTCAGCAATCAAACAGCATCATACATATGAGTCCAGATAGTCTTGACCTCGAACCAACAACAGAATTGCATCACGAGATTCACCAAATAAGAACACACCAAGAGTTCATAATTGACAATGCTGAAGTAGTCCCATCATGATCAACGAAGAACCAGAGTTGATATCCTATCTGGCACTCGGCGCCCAGACTACATGTGGCAGATCCTATCTAGCCTATACTACGAAGCCGAAAGATGACATCAACAACATTCCCGAAGTACGAGCATATGGCGACCAATGTCGCACGCTTCCAGCACCAGGTATGTCTCGCGCTACACTCACAACCTCGTTCCCCAACTCACAGATGCCACTAGCACCCAAGAACCACCCTGCGCCACACCCAGCTCACAGCGGATCAGCTTGGCTATGGCTGCCCGCTTCTTCCCTGCTCGCCCGTGAGAGCGTAGGCGCCAGCCAGCAAATAGCACAGCAGCAGCGCTTGTGCAGCATGCAGCCAGCACCCGAATGCCGAATGAGGAGGCAGGCCCTTCCCTATATCGAAGTGGCCTGCCTGCGTCCAGTCCAGGAAGCTTCCAGT